GCTGTCTGGAGGCTATAAAAAACTTCTCCTGCTTGGCAACATAGGACTCTTATCTTTTTTATTATATATATTTCAAAGATACGCTGAATAGTTTTCCAAAACAAGAAAGCTATGAGGCATTTAGCTTGACCTGCCTTTAAAACAGACAGATTACACAGAGTACCAAAAACCATACAGAGAACATGATATAGGGGAAGGGGAAGAAAACCAAAAGAACTGATGAAAAATTGCCGTAAGAATTCAGAGTGAACCCTACTAAAAATCTAGCTCTTCTCTGTAAGAGGAAAAAATATGTTTTAATCTGGTCAATACGTGTCCTGGTTTCTAAACTGATACATTACCAAGCAAAGACTTAAAAACTGGATCAAATTGATATCAGACTGTTATCACTGGCCTATCATTCTAGAGGCCAAATGAAGAATGCATTCAGAGAAAAAAAACTGATACAGATACCATCATTCTAGTTGACTAGGACTGTATTATACAGCAGAAATAGTGTAATAAAGGGACTGCCATACAAGTAAAGATTCAAAGAACCAATTAATGCAACAGGAGAATATACATAATTAATAACTCTGTGCAGCTGAAGGCTGCCTATAGTTGAGTGAAGAAAAATGAAAAGATGAAGTGAGAAAATAAATACTATTAAACAGTACAGCTTTAGTTTAACTCTGTGGTTTTTATTCATTTCTCAAGACAGTAACATCCTATCAACTAAGCAGTCTGCATCAAAAAAATTTCAAAGACCTATGATCAAAAAAAAAACCCCATATTTTCTCTAACAGTTAGAAGTAGTATTGAACATGCCACAGAAAACTTCACCTAATCAGTATTCTGGGAAATACTTGTTCTGTTGCTCTAACAAATTCAATTTGGCTTGTCACCCTAATGAAGCTATCAGCCAGCGCATTACCACCTACATCTCTTGCATAGAACTGACAGACCCAGAACCCAGAATACTAGTTTTTACCAAGTTATAGTTTGCAGGTGAGAAGAGAATCTGGTTTAAGAGAAATAATATGTCAATGCAAGCGAAATATCTGTAAGAAATTACTTCTTATAAGAACTAGTGTCTGGAGTCCAAAGCTGAGCACTGCTGCAAGCCAAAAGATGCAGTGGCCTACTCTCTCAAAAATGGCAATGAGCCAAATTAATTAGTAATATTATGAAATAATAATCCTGGAAATCAGCTACCCACTAGTTTTGGTCATAAGTTAATCAATCCTCAGTTCTTCCTTCAATTTGCCCAAAGGTTCCAACGTTTGCGTGATGTGCAAACTATACCTCTAAATAAAAAAAGAAAACTGTTAACCATTTTATGTTTTCTTAAAACAGAAATGAAAGATTAGTGCCTGGTCCTTCTTGTGTATGCTACAGAAAACAGACAGTGCATTTCAGTACTTCCAAAATATACAACTTCTAAGTACCACATGCCAGGAGAGACTAAGAATTATTTTGCCACTTGGATTTTAGTACAACACTTTAAAATGAAGATAAAATTCCAATTAGATCTTTCTTAGTTACACTGTCTTTCTTAGTTATCTTGTACACAGTTTCCCTGAAGACTCTCTCATGCTGGAACAGAACTCTCGGGATCTCAGGGACACCCTGATTGTGCACACAGATCATGACCCTGCTTCTGCACTTGGATCCAGATGAGCAATCCCATGCATATGCCCACTAAAGCTGTTATAAAGGAAACTCAAGAGTTGATAAGTGTAAGAAAAGTACATGGCAAGCGAAAGCATGAAATATCACACATACTCTGAATTCTAAATTAACATGTAGCCCTGCACACTACCTCAACAGGTCAGTAAAAGCCCCTATCAAATATGCAGTGACAACCAAAAAGCCCATCTATGTTTTTAAAAGAGTACAGGAAAAAAAAAATTCGTATTCATAGAATCATATAATGGTTTGGGTTGGAAGGGACCTTTGAAGATCACCTAGTACAACCCCCCTGCTGTGGGCAGGGACATCTGTCACTAGATCGCATTGCTCAAAGCCCCATCCAACCTGACCTTGAACACTTCCAACAATGGGGCCTCCACAACCTCTCTGGGCAACCTGTTCCAGTGTCTCACCACCCTCATCGTAAAAAATTTCTTCCTTATATCCAACCTAAACCTATCCTCCTTCAGTTTAAAACCATTGTCCCTTGTCCTGCCACTACAGGCCCCGGTAAAAAGTCTCCATCCTTTGAGATGTTCATATGCTATCTGGACACAGTCCCAGGCAACTGACTCGAGGTGGCCCTGCTTCAGCAGAGAGGGTAAACCAGATGACCTCCAGAGGTCCCTTCCAACGTCAACCACTCTGTGGTTCTGTGATTATGTTGCTGACAATTATGACAACGGAACGGTCATATTCTTTTGATGTACCTAATATTGTTTCTGTGAGAAAAGTGCAAATCATTAAGTTATACATGACCACGTAAAGAAGTACGTATACAGAGGGCACATTTATAGAGTCAATTGTTTTAAATATTATACCCATATCTACACATTGCACAGAATATTAATAACTGGATACACATCTCTTTTTTACAAAGAAAGAAGTTAATATAATCTCTAAATCAATCTAAAAACCTAAATTGTAAATCTACTTTAAAAAGCTAGCACTCTGGTCTAAGTATTTTTCAGGATTCTAACTTTTTTTTTTTTAACTGTAATTCAAGATGTCGATCAAAGTTTACAGCAAGTTGGCTACTACAACAATGCATCACAAGTAAGAGTATTTTGCCCACTACTTCTCAAGGTATAGAAAGATAATACAGCAAATATATGCTGATACACAATTACTTACAGAATATAGGAGAAAATAATGAAAGGATCATGCAGTCATCTACTGCACTTATAAGACACTACAAGGAGATTCATGAGATTATAAGGAGATGGCAAGTTCTTCCATTATCCCATGCAATTTTGAAAATATTTTACCTGTGTGTGCCTTGTTAGCAGAATAAATACTTTACTTGGCAATTAGTTCTGTGAATTGAGGCTTTGGGTTAAGGGAAGATTCTCTTGAACTTTGAGTTTTTCACTCAACTAAAGTCTACAGGCTTAGGATATTTTCAAAACCAGCTGAGAAAGCAAGTTCAAATTCAAACTCAAATTACACCCCTTAGAGCCTACACTCAACTGATACTCAACTTGTCATCTAGGCTAGGAAAAGAAAAGAAAAAAGGGGATGAAATGATACTTTGAGCATATATAAAAGCACACACCTACACTTAAACCTGCTTTTATACTAAAAAACAAGGAAGTTGCACTATGGTATTTTGGCAGTTGCTTTTCTGCAAGCTTAATTACAAATGACAGTTTAAAACTATTTTATATGGGAGGTACTACATTAGCAAAATGCCACTCCATTATATGAGATTATGGTGAAGTCACAAAGAATCTCCAAAGCTGTAACATATACCAGAAGCATTGTATGTTGCAGGGTTCACAAAACTGCAGACAAGAAACGGAGCAATGTCATCCCCAAACTAGGTCAGAGAAGGACCACAGGTGTGTATGGTACAAGCCCCAAATAAAAGATGATCAAAGGTGTTTGTTAGTTTCTCATATGCTGAAGACCCAACAGTGAAATATGTATTAGTGCAGAGTCTGTCTGAAGAAAATTCTCAGACAGCCACTTTGTATGGTATCTTCAGAATTGCCTTCCATTCTGCACACATATGCTGTATTCTGAAAAGTTAGCCTTATAACCCTTTGTGACTTCACCTGGTTTTCCAATTACTCACCTCCTTCAATGGACAGTCATACTTGCCTATACACTCACTGTATCGCTGACCATTTAAATGGTCATGTGACTTGTATGCTTGGTATTAGTAAATACTACCTCAAAAAGACAGAAGTCCAAAATGTCTTGTTCAACTCAAATTTTTTTTTCATACTTACTTTATCAGTCATTTACTTGGTTAGGTTCATGAATTACTATAATTTTCCACAAAAAACTGTACAAGTTTTGTGTCTAAAATTACACAGTTTTACAAAGGATCAAGTTTAAATACTTTGGAAAAAATGACCTGTGATGCAATTCTGAATATCTTTAGTCTGCTCCATAGACATATCTCATCTTCTCAAAATGTGCATTTTACATCTAAATAAAATTCTAAGTTTGTTTAGTTGTAAACCGCTGGTATAAATTATGTTGTTCTATTTCTGTCCGTGTATCATGTTTACCTTCTATATAAAATTTACTTTCTACATATATTTTACCAAATCATAAAGTAACAAACTGAATCTTATCCAAACAAGATATATAGCAATGATAAAAACAAAGCAAGAATAATTGAGTCAGTATTCCACAATTCTTCAATTATTCTTTTGAACCACGTGATCCTGGCTGACACTGATGTGTTCTGTACACATCTTCTAATGCAGCTGAAGGCTTATTATGAATCAACAGAAGGATGTTATTATACCTTCTCATAGAGGTAGCCATTTATGCCTAAAGACACAATGAGACTTCCACAGAAAGTACCAAGTTTTAACTGGTAACAGGCACATATGAAGCAAGATTATTATGCTATCGCAGACAAGTATCTCAAAATCATAGTAAGTATCTCACAAAATGCACCACCCAACCAGCTTACAAAATTAAAGACAGCAGGAGCTCAGACACACTTTAAGTACAGAGAACCAATAAGCTGATGAGCTAAACCACTGCAAGTGTTCACGAGCACATTTTACCCTTGCCCTATTGTAAACCATTTTCACAACCACCTCCAAACAGTATGTAGGTTGCATTACTTTACGTTGCTAACAGTGCACATATATCAGATTCCAACAGTTACAGCAGCTCAGCTAACATGTAACATCTCTTTAAGACAATGGAATTCCACTGCCCTGATCACATTTATTTACTACCTAGTAAGTACCCTTTTTACTGTCCTGTACCTTGGCTTGTCACAAACTTTGTATCTTAGTTTAAACTCCTTGCTTTAAAACAAACCTACACAGCTTTATTCTCTCTTAGAAAAAAAACATTACCTTCTGAGGGGTCAAAACCCTCTGCCTGAACTTTTCGATCGTATCTTGACCTGCAGCCGCCCACGCACTGGCAAATGCTTCAGCTTTGTCTTGATCTAGGTGAATGCTTTGCAGCTGTTGTTGCAATGAAGCAGGCTTCAGATTATGATAGACTGCCTGTTAAAAGGAAAAATAACTGCTGTTGTAGATTGCTGCTCTACAAGTTGTGCCAGATATATTCTACCACAGACGGCCACCGTGCTCAGACAAGATTTTTACTAGCAACTCTACTGTGGCACTGCAAGCATTCTGTTCATCTTAACCTTTTGACTGAGAAGACAGTTACACTTTTCTATCTCAAAATGCAGTATTACCAATTACTCTTCTCAAGATAGACAAACTATGAGAAAATGCATACACAAGCTAGATCTGAGTATAGGTATATGCTTCCACTGCCAAAGCAGCTATTACTGAAAAAAACCTGGGCTTTGAAGTCAATTGCAACCGTGAAGAAAGGACAACTTTTCCAAATTCACACTGTTCAAGCAAGCCTGAACTACAAGGTAATATTCTGAAAAACAGGAACAGTTTGCCAGAAAAGGTGAGTTAGATATAACCTCCTTATTAGCATCAATTTTTGCAGTAAACACCCTCCATAGTATGCTGGTCTCCACTTTCAAAACAGGACTCTGTCAGCACCAGGGCAGAAGAAAAAAGGAAAAAAAGAAACACCACAGGCAGCAAAGAACATGCAGCAGTCTTATTGTCTATAATGTGTCCATAGACCAAAAGGCTGTTAAAAAATTATGCTCTGACAGAACAAGCAGCTACTCTAAAAAGTGTAGCTATCGTCAGGAACACAAAAGAGTCCTCATACAACATGTATTCCATCTGGGACTCTTCTTTGGACAGATATTAATATCCTTCAATTTCTTTTTTTTTTTTTAATGCAAAACAACTAAGTCCTAGTGAAGACTGACCTGCTTTTTCTGTTCATCTTCAATAACTATCATATACATGAAGCCGTCTGATTAAATTAGGACCCGGAAGTAAAACAGATAACTCTGCTGTTTGGTTGACATGAAAATTCAAAATTCCAGTCTGGAGGCGACCTCAGGTTTCATTTTGATTTTTCAGTGGACAGGAGCCATGGGGAGGACTGTTTTCTGCTTTCTAATGCTGTGGAATGTGTTAACTGAGTGAACTAATCATAAACTGACATGTGTAAGAAAGGACACGATTCAAATCCCACAACAGACCGTCAGTGTGCATGCCCTCTGCACAGATTACATTTACTATACTTGCATGAACTGGATGGATAACACTGAGGCTGTGACAATTTCTAAGACAGTTACCATATTTACCAGGTAATACATTGGCTTCCCAGCCTCAGTAGCAGCAGACTGTAGAACCAGAAAACCACCTCTCTTTACAAGATGCTTAGCTCTACAACATGCAGTCATGTACTCTTTCAGATACTAGAGCTATGTCAGGTGCGCCTGTTCACCTAAGTACAGATTGCTTCTGTGCAGGAAAATTTTCCGTAACTGACACTTCATGTAATTTAAGCAGTGCTCAATAATGCTATCTAATATCTTCCTTACAGGAATTAAAAAAAAATGCATGGGTGTCTTGCTTACAATGAATAAGAGGAAAGACTATATCTCGTAATTATCAACACTCCTCTCAAAGCCATGCAGAGCTCACTTCCACCACCTATATTTACATTGGCTGGAAACTCACTCCACAAACACAGTAAGTCCAATCCAAATCAGGAAGGCATGCAAACAAAAGCAATAAAATCATGCCTCCAAAACACACATACTACAGATACATGTTTTCATTAATTTCTTTTTAACTTGACTTTTATATGTTTGAAACCTACAACCGGATTAAAAAAAAAAATATTCATCAATTCAGAAGGATAGAATCAAGGTACCTGTTCCAAAATGAATGATATAGTTTCAAGAACTAGATGAAGATCCTGCTTTTCCAACGAAAAAGCTATTTGAAGTTTTTCTTCCTCCTCTTCACTGAAGCTACTTTCAGCCTGAAGCACAAAAACAGTTAGTCCTAACATTCTATTTAGCAACCAAGAACATACTTGTCAAAACAAAAACCTTCTCCCGATTTGTGTAAAAATAGTGGCTGTCCGGTTGTTTCTAAACACAAGTAACAAAGTAAAGCTCTTTTCCAACAGAGAAAATACAAGAAAAATACAATGCAATTCCTCTCACTGAAAATCAAAATTAAAAGCCAAGTATCACATGAGAATTTATCAGGATTAATTGAAATACATCACAAGAAAATGCTTTCTCTTTACACCTGAGAGACACTAAAGAAATACTTTTCTTTCAACTATCAGATCATCTCCAACAACCTTTTACAAATAAAAATAAGAAAAGTACGAAGTGTATTACTTGAATCAGACTCCAAAGAAAACAGAAGGCAAAACTGTAGTGAAGTTAGTTACGTATGCTTCTTCCACTGCAGATACGCTTCAGAAAATCACCCATGCTGTTATAAAGGAAATGAAGGCCCAATGTATGCTTATTTTGAAAGTCAGATTTCAATCTCTAGCCTACTGTATTACTGAAGATTACTGAGAATGTGCTGTACTTTTAAAATACAGCAGTTATATTTATTATACTACAGCAAATTAAGTAGCAATTTAAATGCAGATATTGCCATCTTTTAAAATGTAATTACTAACAAATCTATGCCACAGGCATCAAAACACCATATTTAGACCACTTAGTAATCCAAAACTGCAAAGCTACACAAAAAAGCAATTGAGCTGTCAGAATAAAGAAAATGAGGCAATTACACAGAAACTTCAATGATCACAATGTCTGTAACAAGAGTAACAAAATGGAAACATTATTTGAATCATTAGCTGTCAGAAGGAAACACAGACCTCTGAGTATCTGGTTTGTTAAGGCGAATAAGCTTATTTAAAGTTTCCAACGATTTAACATGCCCTAGAATCAGATACTTTGGAAATGCCAGCTGAACAATTCATGAGATTGACTGAGTGGGCTAAATTAAAAAGACCACTACAGCTCATGTAAATGCTGATTAAAATTGTAAAGAGCTACTAAACTACTATTGAGTACTTAAAAGAAAAAAAGGTTGGTGACACTTTCCAGTTACCAATGAGTTAATATCCATGCAAAACAACTGCGAAAACCCTCTGCAGTAGGAGCAGCATGCAAACTAGTAATTTTGGTAGGAATAAAATCAGCAATTGAATTAAATAATCAAAACAATCCTTACAGTCTCAGAATTATGACCTTTAATACATTTGTATTTTCTATCCATGCTGCTCCTAACCTGTAATATTTTAATGTTTAGTTTGCATATATATGTATATAGAAAACAAATTCTGTATTTCTTTTTACATTTTTTCTAAACACAAAGCAAGGGAATAAACAGAATCTGGCACTGAAAGATAAAGAAACTCAACAAAATAATTTCTTTCTTAGGATTTATCTTACAGTTTCCCCTGCAATATTTACTGCCAAGGTTAGATTTAGTCTCCATTCGAATTTTTTGGCACTGTATGATGAAACTGACTACTGATTTTATTGCTTCATTTTTTCTTTATTACTTATTCTGCGATTTAAAAAAAAATTCTGTAAAGATGACAAAAATATTCACTGAAAGCTCATTTTTTCTTTATTATTTATTCTGCGATTTAAAAAAAAATTCTGTAAAGATGACAAAAATATTCACTGAAAGTTCATTTTTTCTTTATTATTTATTCTGCAATTTAAAAATATTCTGTAAAGATGACAAAAATATTCACTGAAAGTTCATTT